ACATTGGACCCTTATGAGGCATCAATGCAGGTTCTTCAGTTGTAACAAATGTACTTCTCTGATAGGGCATCCTGATCATAGGGGAGCTGATGCCTGCTATGGGGTCAAGGGGTGTATGGGAAATCTCTGTACTTTTGCCTCAATTTTGCTGTGAACATTAAACTATTCTAAAAGAAATAGTCTTAGTAAAAAAAAAGAAAAGAAAAGAAAAGAAAAGAAAAGAAAGAAAGAAAGAAAGAAAGAAAGAAAGAAAGAAAGAAAGAAAGAAAGAAAGAGGGGCACCTGGGTGGTTCAGTCAGTTGAGCATCTGACTCTTGGTTTTGGCTGGGGTCAAGATCTCCCAGTTCATGAGATCTTGACAGCACCAACACTGCTTGGGGGATTCTCTCTCTTTGCCCCTCCCCCATTCATGCATGTGCATGCTCGTGCTCTCTCTCTCTCTCTCTCTTTCTCTCTCTCAAAATAAGTAAATAAAAATTTTAAACACAGAATGAAAGAAAACTATACCATTTGTTTGGACCACATGTTCCTAAAATATTGATATTTTAATCTTCATATATGCAGTGCCCACTAACATGGAGTCCTCATTTAAAATACTTTTTTTCCTATTTCCTCTTTTTCTCCCCCCCCACTTTTTTTATTTGTGCCCTCTAAAGAGGGGACTGCTGGCAGAATATCAAAGATCCTTCAACCCAATCACATTCACATTGCCACAAGCTTATATCAGCTATCAAATTTATAAAAATGACATTTCAATATAATCCATTCAGTGAAGATGAACTACTCTCTATATATCTAAATATGCTATCACTGGATGTACTTTCGCCTCCCCTCAACCTCCTGCAGCAATCTGACTTGGTAAATGAGATCTCTTAAGATGGGTCTGGTCAACCGTGCATACACTTACTACCAAGTTGTTGGCAATTTGTTCCATTTCAGGTTTTATTGAAGAGCCCATCAAATATGCTGTGTAAGTATTTAATGGGTCTGATGTATATTAGGGTTGTGTTTTCATCACCCTAGATAGTTTTTATTTTTTTTTTTTTATTTATTTTTTTTTTTAAATTTTTTTCTTCAACGTTTTATTTATTTTTGGGACAGAGAGAGACAGAGCATGAACGGGGGAGGGGCAGAGAGAGAGGGAGACACAGAATCGGAAACAGGCTCCAGGCTCTGAGCCATCAGCCCAGAGCCCGACGCGGGGCTCGAACTCACGGACCGCGAGATCGTGACCTGGCTGAAGTCGGACGCTTAACCGACTGCGCCACCCAGGCGCCCCTAGATAGTTTTTATAAAAAATAGATAATTTTTTATATAATGTTGCTCTAGGATTTTAGCATATGAATAATCCACAAATTTATTTTCTCAAATTTAACTCAGCATTCATAACAACACAAAAAGCATTCTTCAACAAAACACTATCTTTACTGAGAAAGTAATTCATGGAAAATCAACCACAGACTGTTATGTGACTCTTTGGATCCCTTTCAATTTTGAGCCACGCAGAGAAGGCAGTCAGGTAGCAAAATGGGAGTCTTTCTGCAGAGGTGTTCCCTGGCAAGATTTACATGTCTCAATGGGGGCTGGCCTATGTTTGCAAATCCCTTTATCAGCAAAGTCTGGTCAACTCAAGATTTGAGCGTTCAGCCCTTTTTTTAGATTCTTCTTTGTAATTTATATGTAAGTCTTCTCTTACCACATCCCCTTCATTTCTCTTATCCTATGGCAACAGTACATAGGCTCCGTTTTGCCTTGTTTAAACTTGTCCCTGTTTTGGGATATTTCTTCCCCTTAGAGCATCTATCCTCAATGGAGGCTATTTTGTCTACCCTCCAAGAACCTCTGGTGCTGTCTGGAAATCTTTCAGTTGTCACAGTTTGGAATGGGGAAGAAAAGAGGTCCTCTAAGCATCTGGTGGGTAAAGGCCAGGGGTGCTAGGTATCCTATAATGCACAAGACAGCTACCCTCCCTCAAGAAATAATTACCTAAACTGTCAGCAGTACAGAGATTGAGAACTTCTGCCTTAAGGTCTTGAATAGAACAACTCAGACATAAGCGTAGATAGAACCTGGTAGGTTGTGGTAGGCAGAAGGAAACATGGCATTTTGTCATCCAGATTCTGGACTGCTTTTCTTTTTCCTCATTCTTCCTTTTGGCTCCTTCGCCTCTTTGCCCACTGCCCCTGTGATCTGTCCCCAAATAAAATGGACTCTCAGGGCAAAGTCTGATAAGCTCAAAAGAAAACAGTGAACAATTCAACGTGGCTTTAATTTTAAAAAAATCATAAACCAAGCACTAGCTGAAAAGTAGAAATCTGGGCATTAATAATATGCACAGCAGTTTTTATTTTGAGGACATAGGTCTCCCAAGCACAGCCAGACACTGACAAGAGGACTAATTCAACAAAACTGCACAATCATAATCGCCAAACTGCTCCTACAGTCTTCCCTGAACTCCAAGTGTCTGGTATAGTCCTAACAATTCTCATTAGCATCAGTGAGTTAACAGCTCAAGCTTTTGCCTGCATTTCTTTGACAACCTCCCTAGTTACTCCTAAAGAAACAGTATCAGTTCCGCTTAAGAAACAAAACTGAAGAAAGCCACAAAATGATGTGTATACATTGTGCATTCTAGTTCTTAGCCCACCAACATCTACTTTTCCTTAACACATATTCCAATATTTTCAACTGCAGGTGTGTAGAAGCTATTTCAGTCTCTTCAACCTGATGACTTTCCTAGTTATCATCAATAGTTCTTGAAAAATATAAAGAACCTAAATGTCTTGTGCATCTTCTCTGTTCCATTAAGATCTGGATGTGGACTTCAGAGTCAGAAAGGTATATTTAGTTAAGTCCCTACAGTATTCAGTCACTGCAAGGAAGGGTTGGAATAAGTTTTAAAATCTTTGACAGTTAACAAGTAAGAGCAAAATCTTAATGAGCAACAACAGTCCTGAATGAATTGCTCTGTTTCATATTTCATCGATTTTGTTGTTTGGAAAAAAAAAATCAACCAGAAAGTCATTTACGTTTCAAGAATTTGAGCAAAAATTATGTAAAAATATTTCCATCAACTAAGCATGCTGCCCTTGCCTTTAAGCAGATTTTGACCCAAATGGGCATCATGTCCTCTGTTCATTAAAGCAGCACAAAAGACATTGAGAAAACAACCCCAGAATATCTCTTGAACAATGCCTGAGTTCTTGGTGTGCACAAAGTCACATGTAAGGTGGCAATATGCTCTGTGTCTTTCACCTTTTACAATGAGCATTCCAATGAGTCAGGAGCAATCCTGTGTTCAGAGTCCTGTCTTCACATCTTCAATCCTTCTCTGCTGCTCTTCCCAGTCTCAGACCCAAGGGAGTGCTGCTATGTGTTTGACAGACCATGTGATGTTCAGACTTTGTAACAGAATAGAGCGAATGGGCCAGAAACAGAGAGCCACAAAAATGTGAGAGGGTTCCCTAAAGGGTGAAGAAAAGAGTCCTTATACTGGAGGGTAAAATGCCTGTTTTTAATTCTTCCAAGTGAAGAAAGAACTGAGTGACTTGCTTTGTGCTACTCTATTGAATGCAAAGGGCAAACCTATTTGAAAGAAAACAGTGCTCAATTTCAGCTAATTAAAATGCAGATATATCTTATTATCATTATTGTTATTATTTCTAATTCTATGTCTGCCATGATTCTCAAGAGCAACAATCCCTGGATGTTCTCTTTATTATGTGACGTTACACTATTCCCTTTCTGCTTATATTTCAAAGAGAACAAGCAATGTCTCTGTTTATCTGTTGTTTTTCCTTGCTATTTCAGACTAACAAATATCTACAGAAGTCTTTGTAAATAACCTTTTCCCTATAGAAAGAAACCTATTTCGACTAACATGCTGTATCATGGAGAACTTGATACACTGCTTTATCTGACCTTTCAGAAATACATTTATTATTTCTTTTAATCCTAATAGGTTCTGCAGTCCAGCTATACAACAGGAAAGGCCCCTATTGAAGTCTGAGGAAAGGTCCTTCTGTGCATACATGACTCAATTCTTTATCTATTCATAACCCCATCCAATATAAACTTAAATTCCCTTTTTCTATTCCTTTGTCGTCTCTACTCTAAATTTTCTAACCACACTTCCACCCCCCCTCCCCCCGCATATACAGATAAATGCACACAGCTTTAGGTATTTGGGAAAGGTTCTGAAGCCCAGGAACACTAGCCAAGAACAAAAACTACTAAAAATAGGCCAGGCTTTGGTACAGTTATGGGTTATTATGCTAACTCAGTGAAAGTAAGTTGTTGTTGTTGTTGTTGTTGTTTTTCTCCATCCCAATGCACCAGGAAGCTACGACAGGCTCGCATGAGTAACCATGTCTTACCATAGCAGTGATCCCCCAGGGACAGCATGTGCCCTAGAAGAAGGCATAGAAGGCTTTCCTAGAGGGGCAAGGCACGTATTCAAGGTCTGACCCATTTTTAGCTGCCACCATCCCCTTTTTTTGATAACTTCATATCCAGACACTACCTAGAGCCTTAAAACTTTTTCCTAGTTGTTCACAGTCCTTCCTCAAGAGCCAATCTTCTCAAGAAATAGACACAGAAATGGTTTCAAGTTCAAGATTCCAAGTTCCCATCACACCTCCACTGTTTTCTAGATTTGTGACCTTTTCCAATCTCTTAACTCATTTCAACCACCACTTTCACATTTGTAATTGGACATAATAAAAATCTCTCTGCCTACTTCATAAGGTCCTTGTGAGAATCAAATGAGACTACAGATAAAAACTATAAAGTAATATATAACACACACATGCACGCACACACAAAGCAATAAAATTGTTCTTCTGCTATAGTTATTCAAATTCAAGAAACCAAGAACATTCCTATTACCATGTGTAACATTGAGGCACAGAAACCTATAACAGACAATGCAAAAGATTTATTCAAATACAAAAATTAATCATGGCATTGACATTTTGGTTGAATCTAATATCCGTGTTTACCTGTCTCAGAGAGCAATTTTGTAGCTTCCAGAACCTTCTCAGTATAAACACCAGCTTCATAGTTCTCCATCTCAGCATTGATGATGTGTATAACTCGAGCTGCCCGGCCCCTAATGGCCCCTGCAGTCCGGTCCAGAGTGTCCACGTCCCCTTCTTGGAGGGCTATCACACACTTGTTCACATCCTCCAAGATGTGATTCTCTGTGGAAAAACACACACACATACACATTGCGCATTGATATGATTTTATGCCACTCACACACTTAGTAAGCAATCTAAGAGAGATTCATCAACTATCATGAGCCATCATGCAAATCTCAAAACATACCTTTATAACACTGAAATAACATTTAAAGAACATAGTGTATAATTACAATAGCAATTCTCAACCTTGAGCACTAGCTAAAGGGCTCACGGCATCATACAGAGTGTGAAGGTGCCATCCTACTAAGTTTCTGATTCCATAGGTCTGGGATGGGGCCCAAGAAATTGCATTTCTACCAAGTTCCCAGGTGATGGTAATGCTGTGGGTTTGGGGACCATACTTTGAACACCACACTTGGAACATCTTTTTCAATGTTTCAGATTTATTTCATTTTAGTAGTGGTTGTGGCAGTGAACACGAAGTCAACCCGATCACGCAGAAACATTTCCAAACATGACCAGAATCAAGCTCTGGGTGCCTGCTTATTTGATCAGTTTTTATTTAGCAGGCATTTAAGGGAAACTCTAAAACAAACAGTTGTCACCTCATCCGTCCTTAAGGTCACGTCATGCGCAAGGTATATACAGTAGGAAAACTGACCAGGTAAAGAGGATCACAATGTTCTCCACAACTAAAATAACATCGGGTCTTGTGGCTGGTTTCGTCAGTTTAGAGTCAAGGTCAGTCACCACTCTCCCTCATTGCCCAAAGTAGAATCCAGTGAGGCAGGCAGGCTGGGGAGTTTCACTCTCTAGTAGCATAGAGAAAACATGCAATCTGGTCCCTCATGGTTTTACAAGTATGGAATTTTGTATTTCACATGTCCTAAGTGAGATCTGTAATTATATCCCTTAAACATTCTTTGGAAACACAATTCTAAGGAAATGTTGAAACGTTTAGTGCTCTGTGGAAAGAAAAGAACTTAAGCTGAAAATACACTCACATATACACACACTCACTATAAATAAAGAGAACAAGTGAGAAATAGTCTAAAGTAATCTGGTAACTTCAAAAAATTATAACTGTCAAATTCAACAGTTAATAAAGGATTAAAATAAATTATTACTTCCTCGAGAAGTTTCTAGGGCTACCTGTGAAATTAGAAGTTCCTACCTAAAGAGGGAAAGGGTAAAGTATTGCACCAACACCAGTCTCCACCATGGATCTCTCCTACCTTCCTGAAGCCAGTCAGGCAGAAGGACTCAGCGTTCTGTCAGGACCCTCGGCAGAAACTTGCAAAGTATAACTTACTCTGTATCATGGAACCTCTGCTTTGACCTCCTACAATAGGATTACCTTATTTGAACCATTATGGATTTCTGATTTCTACATTCTCTTGTTCCCTAATTTCAAATAGAAATTCGAATAGGAAAAAATGAGACAATTTTAATATTCAGATTTTTTAAACTCACAAAAAGTAATACTTTCTGAATGCTGATATTTTCCTGAGTAAAATAGAAACAGCTGTGACAATTTAGACTTTACAAAATTTTTAGTTTGGTTAAGGAACTTTTGAAAACCACCCCTTTCTGAAATCCTGGATTGTGTCACGCAAACTCACTTAAAAGGACACCTGGGAGAAAGGTTTACTCAAATGCAACTTGGTACAGAATTTCAAATACAAAAATTTGATTTTAAAAGGCCTCTTTCACTGCTCTTCTTGCCGCCCTGCTGGATCTCTGCAGACAATTCAAATATGTCCAGGTCTCCAAAAGTATGCAACTGGGAGGGTCTGCATATCAAAAAGCATGCATCCATCCACTATTGTCTTTGAATAACACAGAAGTACAACAAAAGCTACTGCTTTTCCATGCATGGAATTTTGAGATCCCATCTCTGTTCTAACTGCATTCAGAACAGAAATGGAATGTGCTAATTATAGTATATCCTAATAATTTCTCTGGAGTTGATAATTTTTTTTTAATTCTAAGAAGTCCACTCATGACCTAATATCTTAAAATGAAATGATAGGTTTTAAAGGGGAAAAGAAAACAACTATTTCCCAAACTAGAAATGTACAACTCATTTAATTAAGACACAAGAAAAAGAATATGCTTTAATAGATATAAATGATACATATTTGAAGGAGACTAGCAGAAGCTGAAAACCCAAAACACCAAAAGCATTGCTTTTAATTAGGCAAATCATCAATTAATTCGTTCAATGGTCAGTTTAATAAATCATGCTGTGTGAATAAAGTATTAATTTTATTAGTTTTATAATTTATTGACTAATTTTTTCTTAATCAAGTTTTTTTTGAAATGCTAAGATAATTTGCTCAGGATTTCCCAGCATTTTCCAATCAGGGTACCCCTGTAAGGGAAAAACGAATCACCATTTCCTCATAATAGTAGTTCTCGTAGTGGATGGTATACATGTAAAGGCTAAGATTTGGAATGCCTTAAAATAGATTTGTATTCTATTAAGCTCAGTACCAACAATGTATTTCAAAAAGAATAGTACCTGTTCCTAGAGACATGTCATCTGGCCAAAAGATCATATGTAATGTATATGTGGATTCCCAGACCCCTTATAATAACTTCCCTCCTCATCTCTTCCCAACCCTCTCAGGTCTGAGCCCAACAGTTTGGGAGCACACTGGTCTAGGATCTATCAAGAATTCCAATGAATTATTTGAAGGCAAAATCCACACTTGATTCATTTTTGCATTCCTGACAGTGCCTTATACACAGCAGGCAATCAAAGAAAAAACACTGAATAAACATGTTTGTTAATAGGAGACCATTTTATGTACTTTTATTCTAAGGTATTTTCAAGAGAAAGAGTTCAAGAAGTAAAGACAGGAATGCTGTCCCAACTAGAAAAGAACACAGTAGAGAAAGTAATAATAAACAGCATAGGTATTCCAGAGAGGGCTCCATTGCTGGGAAAAACCGCTCAGGTACTTTGGATGTCATATCCGGATATGAAGCATGGCTTTTAAACATATCATAAAACACTTGACTGCAATATATTTTGTGATGAATTTGAATTTTTGCAGCCTTACTGTTTCAGAAAAGATGAGTTTTGTTATAAAAATCACTGATGACCAAACTATTTGATTATTATAAAGCTTAGAGATATAGATTCTAAATTCAAAACCTAAGTTCCTTGTTTCCTTCTAAAAATTCTCACAAACTCAAGACTCTGGAGTCAAAAGAAAAATAAGAAAAGGCAGACAACAAAACACAACTCTTGGACATTATAGGATTGAGTTAATCTCTTCTTCAGATCTTAGATGGCTGCTACTATGTGAGCCAAACCCAAGAATTAAACTGTCACATGGTTAATGCCAACACACTCATTTTAAAACACTATTAAAAATTGTAGTTTTTACCCAGTGGGGAAAAACTTAAGTGTTCTAACATAGCCATTTCACTTTTTTATGAGCCTGGGCCACATCTGAAAATTGGTTTTGCTTCTGTAATGTTAATAGCTAGCATCATTGCTCCTGAAACTTGTTGCGTTTCATATGGACAAATTAAGCACTCAGGCACACAGGTTCAGGTAGCATGAACAAAACAAAACTGTAGTCTTTTGCAAACAAAGATTTTTTGGTTGTTTTTAAAATAGAGTTCCCTGCCAGAATAGATATTCCCTTAAGAAGAAACTGATACATAAAATGTCATTAATGCCATTCCAAAATATCTCCTGGGCCAGACTTGCAATTTACTGATGCAAATATTTTGGCTTCAGCTCAGAGAGAAGATGAGAAGTAGTTTCCCCAACAATTGGGCTGTATCCATAGCCCACCGGCAGGACAGAGAAGTCTGGGTCATTATTTGTCAAGTCCGCCTGTAGAAAGGTAGCTGCCACCTCCAATTGTCAACTCCAAAGGCATGCTCCAGCAGGCCCTGCCAAGGCTGGCTCCCTGACAGCGCCTGTTCATTTTCCTGTCATGGCATGCCGCGGCACTTGTACCGCTGGGGTTGGACTGCACAGTGTTATCAGCAGAAGCCAAAGCCTTTTCTTGTTGCTGGTAATAATGAGATGCACAAAGGAATGGCAGGGAGAAAGGTGGCAAAGAGGCAGGGCTGGTGGAAGAAAATTAAGAAAAGCTTTGCACCATTGAAACGGTCTGAGATAAGACCTCCTCACCTTGCTTTTCCCTACTCTCAGAAATTTTTGTACATGCATTTAAAGAAAAGGAGAAGTTGGGAAATTTTTAAGTTCTGAAATGATTCCTCTTTGCAAAAGGTAGTCCAATGCATATTTTCTACTCATTTGCAGGAAAAGGGGAATGCAGAATAACATTTCCAGCTATCAGGATTGCTGTGAGATCTGAGGCCGGTTAGGGAGAGCCGCTGCCCTGTCTCGGGGGGGGGCCACTATAGTCATCCTGGGAAACATTGACAAGACATGAGACAGAAGCGGCCTCCCTCTTATTCCACACCATCCAAATCCCCAACATGTCTACCTAAACCATTGCTATGCATTGCATGAGAAATGCACTTCTGAGATATCTTTTACTTTATTGGGACTCAGCCATCAACGAAGCCAATCTCAGAAATGGCAACGTATTAAGGTCTTTATCAGCTAGCCGCCAGATATGGGGGTATTTAAATGAACAGCTGCTTTGAAAAGTCACCAGAAACAGAGCATCTTGGGAATGAAAAATAAGACAGGCTTTTGAAAAAGATGAGAGAGTGGAATGAGGGTACCAGAGGTGGAGAGAAGAGAACCCAACAAAAGCTGGAAGCACCAAAGGTAATTTCCCACTATCCTAACTTACTGAGAATTATGTAGCTTCTGAAGAGGATAATCAGGATTTTCATACCGTCTCTGCCCAGTTACCTCCCCACTCAGTGCAGGCCCTGGGATACTAATATCTTACAGATTTTGGGGGAGAATTAAAGCAAACAGCATAGTCAGGCAAATTCTAGACAATGAAGAGGTATTCACTCATGTTTCCCATTTTTCTTCTCTTGCTCTCCATGGTTTCAAAGTTGGGTTTTTGATTATCCGTCAGATCTACAGATTGGACTCTGCTGCTCTCAGACATAAGCTTCAAACACAAGCCCCCAGTGGGAATTCATTGTCTATTTCTTCATGAAAAGCAAAGACTGCACCTAGACAGTATTTCCAAATATGATGAGCTCCCCCAGAAATTCCTTCTACAGTGTTGCAGTCAGATGCCCCTTCTGCCTGGATCCCACCAGCAACGCTGTGACCCCTTCCCTCTCAGGCCTCAGTTGGCCAAGGACAGGCAGGCCTTGGTCAAGGCCAGGTCTACCTCTGAGTAGAGTCAACATCTGGTCAGTTTGAATTATCAAGGTTCACTTGATTACCTTTAATGCCTCACAAAGGAGGCTGATATTTGCAGCAACCCCCTCCCCAACTCATCCCACAGAGACTCTTCTTGGTGAACTGTGCCAAATGTTTGTGGGCAAATATGTTTAGAGAAAGGTATCACAAACCTGGGTAACTTCACTTATTGGAAAAAATGACCCCCTTAAACACAGCCAAATTGGGCTAGCTGACTTTTTTTTTATTATTATTTTAAAATATAAACCATGAGAACTAACCAAGCTCACATCTCATACCCTTTTTTAAGATGGGTGATGTATCCAAGGCCAATCTGCTTTAAAAACTCTAGAAGCTAAAAAGAAACCCATGTCTCCTTAAATAATCTCTTCAGTTTGCTTATCTCTTAATCAGAAAGTTGTATTTCCACACCCGCCCCCCATGCTTTGACCCATTGTTTTGAAATAATGTGCACACAAAAGAAAAATTTCCAAGGGGGTGTTACAGTCACATTTGCAGAGATGACTAAAAGCTTACAGGGCCAAGAAAAGCACTTGAAACCGAGGCCCATGACATTTGCAAGATATTCCTAATTCTGTTCTCCAGTTCCCTTGAAAGGGCCTATTTGTGATTACCTGAGACAGAAAGGAAGTCATCCACTGAGGTGATGTCATCCACGGCCTCTGTCAACACTCGGACCTGCTTCTCCCACTGGTCTTTGAAGACGTCCATGTTGTCCTGAGCAACTTTGCTCTGTGGTCGGGCAGCCAGTGTGAGAGCAGCATTGATGACCTATTTGTTACAAACAATCCAGAAAGATGCTGACTACACTATTTAAGAAAGAAACAAGAAGGTCAGGGATCACATTGAAACCCTGGACCCTGTAGTTTCTCAGGGGTTCTAAGTGGGTTCTCAGTGTTCAGAAGACGATCAGAAACATGAAACATGAAGTATGTTATCAGCTACCATTAGTTTTTGTTTACATTGTGTTTCTTCTTTTTTAAATGGACAGATTTTATGTTTTTTGTTTTGTCTTTAGCTCTTATTTATTTTTCAGAGACAGAGGGAGATAGAGTGTGAGTAGGGGAGGGGCAGAGAGAGAGGGAGACACAGAATCTGAAGCAGGCTCCAGGCTCTGAACTGTCAGCACAGAGCCTGATATGAGGCTTGAACCCATGAACCGTGAGATGACCTGAGCTGAAGTCAGACGCTTAACTGACTGAGCCGCTCAGGTTCCCCTCTTCTTTTTTTTAAGATATAGTAATTAGCCTCAGGTTTCAAAAAGTGTTTACTGGACAAGTCCTATTTACTTAATTCAGATGTGGTAGAAAGCTAACTCCTGTTCTACATGTGCAAAGTTGTAATTTAGTTGAGACAAGGAAAATAGTAATGGAACATTTAAAAATCAGCCCAAAATAAACAGAACAAAGTCAGTATGAGTGGAAAAGACAATAATTACCAGAGTTATTCTGAATACTGGAACAGTTAGAAATTCTTTTTGAGAAAGGTACACCTTGAAACAGCTCAGGAATGATGGCAAGACAAGGGAGGGAGGGACATGAGGGCCTGAGTAGAGAAGTCCCTGAGTATCAGGTCACCAATGGGCTTTTGAAACAAAGTAGATGAGGCTTACCTGGGGACACAGGCTGTCAATCTGGGTGGCTGCCATCCGGACTAATTTCACCCCTTCCTCATTGTTGGAAATGGAACAGGCCAAGTTGGCAACCTGGATTGAAAAGGATTTGAGTGAAAATCATGTTGGGGCAAAGGGGAAGTGTACTGTTGCATGACCTTACTCCTTCTCTGGAGTCATCTCTTCCAGGGTAATCCTGCTACAAATAAGGATGCCTTTCAGTGATTTACCAAATATTACTAGTTATTATGCTACATTAGACATTTAGTCCAGAAAAGTAAGGTGCTAATAGCAAATTATTGCTTCAAGATTCTCAAGCACACACAATAATGTATTTTAACTGGGTTGCTTTGATCCGTTTTCCTCTGTGGACTGCTCTTGTGACTTATACTCTCACTTGAGCCCCCTAATACTCATCATGAAGTGTGGCCATGATTTTGGCCACATAAGCGCTAAGCTCTGACCAGTGAGAGAGACACTGCAGTGCACTTAGGATTTAAAGGAGATTCACAAGAAGTTGAAAATGAAGGTGTTCTACCCCAAAGAACCCATATCTGCCTGTCAGAGTCTGTCAGGAAACTGCTAGTCTACCAGTAGCCCACTCGAGGACTTTTCAGTTCTGAGAAACAGATAGGAAAGGCTGATATAATCCAGTAGGCAATGATACAGTGTACAACAAATTAGAATATGTGAGTTTAGTAAAAAGGCATTCAGTTTTAATTTTTTTAAAAACATTATACCAGCCAAAACAGCTGCACTGAATTTAAGCTCCCTGGTCAAGCGTTTCAATTGGTATTATTCCTCCTCTTCAAGGAGTGAGAGGTGGTAATACAAGGTCAGATTGATTGGCCAAGGTCAACAGCACACAAAGCTACCATCAGAACACTGATCAGTCCCATCAGACTGATGCCAAGAGGACAAGAGGATGGGGATTAGAAAGGGCAAAGGAGAAGAGAACGGCCACCAGGGCTAGGAGCAGGAGGGCAAGTAGAACAAGTGATTAGCAGACTGAGAATCCCCTGAGCCTTGTGGCCACCTGCCCTTTTGTATCCTGCCACCTCTGCTCTCCAAAACCAGGCTGCCTCTCTACCATGACTTCATGCCCTGGGAGATTAAAATGCAACACACGTGCGGAGTTCCGAATGCAAAAGAAAGCTTAGTCAGTGTGAAGAGCATGGAACTGGAGGTCAGGAGGCTTAACCACTAACTAGTTACAGAGTCACTTCACATTTGGAGGGCCGTTTCCTTATCAGCAAAAGGATATAGGTAGAGGGTGATACTAGGAATGCTTACAAAGATTACTTCAGTAAATCATTATCATTGAGAATCCCATTTTGAAGCTTTTAAGGAAGAACACTTTACTTCTATTGTAGTGAGAATATGTACTATGAGAAACCACAGATGGAATTTCCAAACATTAATTATCAGTTTCTTATATTTTATAGTTTATCTTGGATTCTTCAGATAATTTTCACCATTTTACTCAGTTTTCCAAGTACGTCTGTTTGAAAGACAATATACCTTCCTGCATCCATTTATAGGATACTAAATGCCCAGAGGTATGAGGCTTCTTGGAGGCAAAGCAAGAATTACAGGTTCTCCATTTTTTTGTTATATTGTTTCCACTCCATATATTTATTTATCTTTGTTGTATTTGTATTCCAGTGTATTTTATATTCCAAATACCACATGATGTATGTGACATAGAATTGGTGCTCAATACATGTGTTTTGAATTAAAGAACAGTTTTAATAGTTTTTTATTGCATAAATGTATTTGAAATACATCCTAAAGACACTCTCAAAGATATAGTTGAATTACCCTTTAATCTGACTAGACAAAGTTCATACCACCTTCTAGTAGATATTTACCAACACTATGGTGATAAACAATGATTCCTATTTTTTGGTCCACTGTTTGAGTCCAGAATGCAGAGCTCCTTGTTCATGGTGGCATGAAAAAAAAAAAAATCGGGGTAGTGTAAATTTTCCAGAAAGATGTATACATTTAATTTACAATTCTTTAATCTTCAAGTGATTTCTTCCTAATTCTATTGTTGAACAGCCTTCCATTTTATGAAATGAGGATTTCAGATGGTTTTGTTTCCTCTCTATCATCCTTTCCTGGTGTGTGAGACTTGCAATCACACTCTTGCACAGCAGTGGACATAAGCTGAAGAGTTTGGCATGTGGCTCTGTAGAATGACAACAAGGGAGCCTTAGGGCTGAGAAAAACTAGGCTCCTGAGTGAAGGAGATGCCAACCAATAACTTCTACATGGTGATAACAGACTCTTCCTTGTGTATCTTTTGAAATGGGTCTTCATCCTTTATTTAAATAAACTCTATTATGACTTAGATCTAATATGGGAACCTCATTGCCTGGTTGAATCTAATTAGGGGGAACAGGGCTAGTAACACCTAGAAAAAATGAAGAGCCAACAACCCCGAAAGTCCTTTAATTATTCTCCTTAATTTACTGATCCATAAATCCTGAAGTCTGGCAGCCTCCACTCTGCAATGAGCTCCTGCTGTTTAAGTCCACTTAAAATCAGAATTTTATTTACCTTGTATTATACTCTGAAACATTCTGAAACTATTTCCAACACGATGCTCAGGATTTCACAATTTCCAAAGGCAGGCAGGTTTACATATCTTAAATTGGCCATGGATTCCATCCAAATTCCTGTTTTCCTTAGGCTTGCCTTTCTGCTTCTCACTGGACCCATTGGCATGATGGTGACTCTGAACATGGTTGTAATATACCGTGATTTCTACAACTCTGGCACCAAACACTGAGTTTCCATCTTTGAGGCAGCTCCCAATCATTATTGTATCTTAAAATGCCTGCTCATATCCTAGCAATAGTCCAAGACCACTGTATACACATAGTAAGTACTTGATTACTTATTTTACCTGTTCTTTAACTACAGGTCTGATGCTATACTAGAAACCTAGAAAATAAAATGTCCTATTTTTCAAATCACAAGATTCCCTCCCCCCGACACGTTTTTTTTTAACCAATTTATCATGATAACCTTTCTAAGGGAGGTGGGGCAGGAAGGGAATGGTAAAGTAGAATTTTTAGACATTTGAAAAAGATTAATATGAGTTAAAGAATAGACAGTAGTTATGCTAAGTGAAATAAGTCATACAGAGGAAGACAGATACCATATGTTTTCACTCTTGTGTGGATCCTGAGAAGCTTAACAGAAGACCATGGGGGAGGGGAAGAAAAAAAAAAGGTTAGAGAGGGAGGGAGCCAAAAAATAAGAGACTCTTAAAAACTGAGAATAAACTGAGGGTTGATGGGGGGTGGGAAGGAGGGGAAAGTGGCTGATGGGCATTGAGGTGGGCACCTGTTGGGATGAGCACTGGGTGTTGTATGGAAACCAATTTGAAAATAAATTTCATATGAAAAAAATAGACAATAGATTAACTGATTACTGTTACCAGGCTGCAACCCAACAGATGTTGAGCAATATGTTTAAATTTAATAAAACCTTGAAACCTGCTTGAGTCAACTAAGCAGGTAACATTTACTGGCTGGCTGTGGCTTCTGATTTCTCCACTCTCGAATTGTTGACAAATTAGCTGAGGAGTCAGGAGTCATCTGCCATCATGGAATCTTAGAAAACAATAAAGCATATCATTTATGGTTAGGTGTTGGGCTATTTAGATTGCTTTGGGATTTCTGAAAGGAACCAGATCATGAGTAAAAATGGCATTGCTCCTTGCTTTAGCTAACCATGCTAAATTCCCAACAATCTCTTTGGAGAGGAAACCCTCCTCTATACCTTCTGAGAATAATGAATTTGGGGAAGCCAAGGCTGAAAAGACTGAGCCAAATCTTCTATCTTTGACTTAGTGTCTCAAAAACCAGTTATCTTGAGGAAAAGGAGGAAGCTTAGCAGCCATCACTAAATTGTGTGCTGCTAACTACAAGGGCCTTAGGAGTTCAAAGAAAAGAACAATCAGTAGTCCTGGGAGGGAATCAGTCAGCACATCATGGAGAGGTAGGATATCCATCTTGCAACACTTCTCTTCTGATTGCCTAATTAGTATAATTTTCAGGATTCTCAAAGATTATATTTTGCTCTTCTGGAGGCACACTGTGTAAACAGGTGAAACAAACAATGATATCACCAGCAAGATTAGAAAGACAAGAAGTCAGCAAGGGGAAGTGATACAGATTCCCTTAAGAAAGTAAATTGCTTCTTGGGAGTGCCTGGGTGGCTCAGTCCGTTAAGTACCCAACTCTTTTTTTTTTTTTTTTTT